CTTACAAAGACTGTAGAACTGGGAGTGGACAAATTAGGTGCTCAACCTTCAACATATTGAAAAATGCACACATGCACCCTTAGCGGTACCAGTACCTAACAGTGTGTGCCATAAGCACATCTGAAGTATCCTATAAACAATGTTCCCTCTAAACTGCGCGCGGCCGTGCACCTCCTCCAGGACGGCTGCACAGAGACGAAAGAGATTGAACTTCACTGAGTTCGCCCCATTAGTTTGCAATATATAGATATTTTTGTGTGTGATTGAATCAACACTATATCATCCCCTTTTCAATGCAACAAAACAAAGCTAACTAAGTATGATTGATTGTTGTAGGCAGAGCCAGAGCGCCCCCAAGTAGAATTATATTGGCCGGAGGTAGCCCACGAGCGGTCACCCGCGAGTGAATGCGCTTTTTAGATCAGTTCAGATCATGCGTTTGCACATTTGTTGACGTTCTTTGCTAGTTAGCGAGTTATTAACCCAGTTATAGATAAGTATAGGTCAGCAATTGGGAGTTACTGCTTCCTACAAGAGCACAAAACGTGTAGGCTACATTTCAAGCTGTCTTTGAAAAGCCAGCAGGTAAAAAGCGTATGTCTTAATTAAAAGGGCAGTGTTGTATTTTGAGACAGGCTTGAATATGCAAATAAGCCAATAGGCTGAGGGGTAGCCTACATTGTCTAATTCTCTGTATGCTAATAATACTTCATTTTATTTTGTAAAGTGGTTCCTTGCATCATACAACACAATACAATGCAATTTACAGTCACCTATTTGGCCAATGGTGTTACAGACCAAGTCAAATGTGTATGTCAAGCCCTTCATAATGTAAAAACTGTTTTAAATGTCTCATGCATTGAACACCACATATAGGCTACTGTAGTCTATATCATAGAAATCAAAAGCTATTTCCATGTGAAAATGTTATGGGATTTGCTCCATGTGAAAATGTTTTGGTTTTGTTGGTAGGCCTAGATTATGCTCAAATAGCAGCAATAGCCTATTGGCTACTGTCTAAAACTGTAAGGGTACAGCCTCAGTGTTCATTATAAACGTGCGCTGGAAGTTGCACAAAATTCTCACAACGTTCAAGTTTCCACTAACAAGACCAAAACTTTAGTCAGGGAACATTGTCTATAAGTATTGTCTATAACTGTTGAACCTGTCATTGGTTCTAGCTGGAACCTGAGGGTTCTTCATGAGGGTTCTAAATGGAACTCAAAAGGGTTCCCCTTCCAGCACCCCCCATCTCACAACCAACTGTCAGTATAGGGGGCCGCCAGGCAGTCAGTGAGGAGGCAGGCTAAGACCCATGAACAGCCTAGAACTACCCAACAACACCAACGGCCCTCATCCACCTCTGAAACAGAATGACCAACCCCGGTACCGGAGACCCCCAATTATCCATCATAATGACCCTGACAATACACTCAGAACAGAAAGACTTTCTTCAGACAGCTGTTCCTGTTTGCCTCCCCACTAGGGAATCCATCCATAGATGGCACAAGGTACCTACAGAGAACTGCCCGCACGGATGCACTCACACCGAACACACCTACCAACTGTTTGCTCGGTGGCCAGCTGGGTTTGGGTCCTATTTGCTCCCTCTGTCTTCTAGCATCCAGTGTCCAGTCTTGCCTCCGCATCGCCCCTCCTCCAGCACCGGCACAGGCCGATGGACATACTCTCCACCACCCCAACCCCCCTGCTCCCTTTCCACCTCTCTCCCCCTTCCTCCCTCTACACCTATCCCTCTCACAGAACCAGAACAGAAACAGGAACCATTAATCATCACACCAGACGAGGCACGAAGGAAGGACCAAAGATCTACACCTATGTCTGGAGCGAGCAGGCCACAGGGGAGTACCATCACTGACCTCCGGGTCTTGGGCTTCCAAGTGTGTCTGCTAGCTCCTCAGGTGGTCCTTCACCCCCTCTGCAGATCCAGATCCTGACCCAGCACCTGCAGCAGCCCCAGTTCCCAGTTCCCGGTTCCCGTCCTGACACCAGACCCAGCACCTCCTGATTTTTCCAGTCCTGGGCCCAGCCACAATACCAGTACGGCTTCTGGTTCCGGTCCAGGCCCCAGCACCAACTCAGGCTTTCCTGGTTCCAGCTCCAATCCCAGCACCAACCCTGGACACAGTACCGACCAACCACAACTGCCACCTCCACCCAGCAACTGCCGGCCCAGACCCCACCCCACCCCTCCCCCAACACAAGAACACCGACAAACCGTCAATCACCACTAGACCAACCACTCAAGCATCAACCCCAAAACTCTAAGACGTGATCGACTCTCCAACACACTGTGAAACAAACAAACAAACAAACAACTAACTAACTGTGATAAGACCATTTTAAAGATGCACCATGCAGAAATCATTACACCATTTCCTGGTTGCTAAAATTCTAATAGTTTGCTTAATTTCAGTTTATGTGACAAAACAAACAAGTATCGTATTGAGAATCATTGTACCATCTAAACCGCTGTGAAATATTTCCCATAACCAAAAATATTGTATTTTCAGCTGGTGTACAAAACCGAAAGTAAACGATGCAAAACCGAAACTTAAGAATGGGGAAAATAGAAATAGCGCATATAGAAAGGATTTACCACTTCTTAGACTTGCTTTCAATGAGAATGGCAGATCCATAACACAAATGTCTATGTGAATTTGGTGGGGTCATTTAAAAAGTTACATATTGCAGCTTTAAATTTCTTCTGAAGGTTTTTTTCTTCTATTTGTATTCTCTTTCTCTGTTGATTACTGATGGATTTTTCTTCTTCCTTTTGATGACGATTTGATTTGCCTAGTTTTGATTTGATTACTTATTTGACGACTTATAACCAAAAACCGTGGATAGAACTGAAAGCGCGAACCACAGCATTTAACCCTCGCAAGGCTGCCAGCCCAGACAGCATCCCTAGCCGCGTCCTCACAGCATGCGCAGACCAGCTGGCTGGAGTGTTTACGGACATATTCAATCTTTCCCTATCCCAATCTGTTGTCCCCACTTGCTTCAAGATGTCCGCCATTGTTCCTGTACCCAAGAAAGCGAATGTAACTGAACTAAATGACTATCGCCCAGTAGCACTCACTTCTGTCATCATGAAGTGCTTTGAGAGGCTAGTTAAGGATCATATCACCTCCACCTTACCCGACACCCTAAACCCACTGCAATTTGCATACCGTCCCAATAGATCCACGAATGATGCAATCTCCATTACACTGCACACTGCCCTATCCCATCTGGACAAGAGGAATACCTATGTAAGAACACTGTTCATTGACTACAGCTCAGCCTTCAACACCATAGTACCCTCCAAGCTCATCATTAAGCTCAGGGCCCTGGGTCTGAACCCCACCCAGTGCAACTGGGTCCTGGACTTCCTGATGGGCCGCCCCCAGGTGGTGTAGGTAGGAAACAATAATATAATAATAATATGCCATTTAGCAGACGCTTTTATCCAAAGCGACTTACAGTCATGCGTGCATACATTTTTGTGTATGGGTGGTCCCGGGGATCGAACCCACTACCTTGGCGTTACAAGCGCCGTGCTCTACCAGCTGAGCTACAGAGGACAACACATCCACTACACTGATCCTCAATACAGGGGCCCCACAAGGGTGCGTGCTCAGCCCCCTCCTGTACTCCCTGTTCACCCATGACTGCGTGGCCAAGCTCATCTCCAACTCAATCATCAAGTTTGCAGACAACACAACAGTGGTAGGCCTGATTACCAACGACGATGAGACAGCCTACAGGGAGGAGGTGAGTGCCCTGGCCGAGTGGTGCAACGGCGCCTCTTCAACCTCAGGAGGCTGAAGAAATTTGGCTTGGCCCCTAAGACCCTCACAACGTTTTACAGATGCACCATTGAGAGCATCCTGACGGACTGTATCAACGCCTGGTATGGCAACTGCACCATCCACAACCGCAGGGCTCTCCAGAGGGTGGTGCGGTCTGTCCAACGTATCACCAGGGCACACTGCCTGCCCTCCAGGACATCTACAGCACCCGGTGTCACAGGAAGGCCAAGAAGATAATCAAGGACCTAAGCCACCCGAGCCACGGCCTGTTCACCCCGCTACCATCCAGAAGGCGAGGCCAGTACAGGTGAATCAAAGCTGGGACCGAGAGACTGTTTCTATCTCAAGAAGCTGTGTGTGACACACACTGTTAAATTGTCACCACTAGCCGGCCTCCGCCCAGTACTCTGCCCTGAACTTTAGTCACTGTCACTAGCTGGTTACCACCCAGTTACTCTACCATGTACCTTAGAGGCTGCTGCCCTATGTACATAGTCATGGAAACACTGGTCACTTGAATAATGTTTACATACTGTTTTACCCACTTCCTATGTATATACTGTATTCTAGTCAAGGCCTATCCCATTTAACTATTGCTGTACATATACTATTCTTCAGATATACTACATATTCTATCCATAAACTGTCCATATTGTCTATACATCCCATCCCATCAAACACACACACACACACACACACACACACATATATATACTCCGGACTCCGACATTGCTTGTCCTAACATTTCTATATTTCTTCATTCCATTCTTTTACTTTTTAGATTCGTGTGTATTGTTATATATCACTGCACTGTTGGAACTAGGAACACAAGCATTTCGCTACACCTGCAATAACATCTGCTAAATATGTCTATGTGTACAATTGTATTTTATTTATTTATTTAATTGGCTATTATTTATTGAACATTTTGAATGATTTATCTTTGAAAACCTGTAAATAATTTTGGAAAAAACAAATAATATTTTGCTTTTTAAAGATTTCCGTGGAGAGGAACATTGAATATCTACACATATTTTCCTATACCTGTGAAAAATAAAAGCGTATCGTAATTTCTTAATATATTTCAATATGCTCCTCTCCCCGTCTCGCTAATTAACGCCTTCCGTTAAAAACATGACACACATCGGTTGTGTGACAGGTCACGTGATGGTGGAGGAGCAACGGGACCAGCCGGAAGGAGGGGTGAGCCGATGTTCAACCCGATTGAACGACTAGTCTAGCTAGCTAGCATTCCTCCTTGCCCCGACGCCTGGTTAGAAAGAGGAAAGAGATCGCAAATTAGAATTCAGAGACGGATTGGATTTGTATGATCAAGGCGATTCGGCTATAAACAACGGGACAGAAGGCCTCGAAATATGGCCACATATACACAGCTGAATCCGAAAGAACTGGCGAGGCGTGTTTGAACGCGACGGGAATCTTTTTGTTTCGGTGTGATCTGCAAACCAAACGAGTTTTGGGAATAACCGAGGCCCTGTATCCTCCGTGGATTCTCTTTCTTTCTTTTTTTGATGAGGAGCGCAAGATTGATGACAGCTACCTTTAAAAATGCCAGAATAGCGACATCCTCTTTAAAATAAGATTAGACGGGTGCATTTATATATAATAATAGATGTAAAACCGTGGTAGTCGTAAATATTCTAATGTAGTCATTTATTTGTTTGTACAGCGACAGAAAATGGTGAGATGACTTCTCAGAATTAAAACTATTTCATTAAGCTAACGAAATCAGTGGAGTGAAATGTTTTTAGCTGAATGTGAGCTGATAATAGTCATGATCCGTCCCTGATAAACCAAAGGAATGAAGCCGGGACATATCTTTGGGTCTGGATACGTTTTGATCGGTCTGTGTGTATGATCCGAAAGCTTGCCACAGAAGCCAACATTCCAGTGGATTAAAAAAACCCTGGCCTTTGTTTTGCGCTTATGAATTGAAGTCGGTTAAACCATAAACTATGCAGTACATCGCCTTCTAACGAAGTATTGTTTGACCTTTTTACTAATTAAGTCTTTATAGGCCCAAATAGCCGAGAGGAAAGTATTTGGTGAGAGAAGTCGAGGCCTTGTGTACAGATATGCGAGCGTTGCCTGTGGAAGCATCATAACTGACGACGTTACACATCAAACAAATAGGCTGTTATGTACCTATTGTGAGGATCAAAGTCCGTCGCAATGTTTATTGAAGGGCTAAGGACACTTGTCACATGTATCTGATTTGCAAATCCTTATATTTTTGTTTTGTCCTACTGCCAAAAAGCTGTCACGAGCGTAATCGTATTAATTGTGAACGTACCCAAAATAGTCGGTGTATTATTGGAAGAGAGGATAAAATAACAATTAATGTGCCCTTTGGAACATCGGCGTTGTATCAACCCTGGGCAAGCTTAATCGATTTACAGATGGCTTTATTCAGGGTGGAGGTATAGGAATCATTTCGGCAACGCAATCTTTTACTTATGTTCATTTCTGGACCTCAATCGATTGAGGAACAAACAAACATAAGCGGACGAGGAAGTCAAGGCTAGCTCGCCAAGCAAAAGTAAAGACCTACGCAGAAGGGGAGAGGAAAAGGTGAGCGTTCGTCTTTCATCAGCTGTATAGAAATCAATTCAGCTCCGCGGTGATGTAACCGTCCAAACGATCCTAATTCAGACCGATTCAATGTAATGTCTGAACCGTGTTGGTTGGTAGATCTCTGTGCCTTCATTGCTATCATACCGTAGCTGGAAATACGAACAATTTAGCTGCGAGAATTAGGCCTAGGCTATACTACGCACAAAGTGAACCATTCGTCAGCCGTCACAGGAGCCGGTTATTGCCTAACCGTGTGATTTCAGAGAAACGAAGGCCTCGCTAACTCTTTACGGTAATTTGCATAACGTCATCCCGGACTGTGTGTCGTAATCACCGGGGTGTTGTCATCGTTTCCCTGAGGCCTTTTCTGGTGGCTGTGGAATCTGCCAAGGCCTACCTGCTCTGCCCTACAGGATGTGCACTGCTGCCTGGATTTAAAGCAATAGCTGAGGACATTCATTCACCAGTCGGTTGGACTAAACTAGTTGACAGTGCTAGTGATGATAATAACCCTTCATTGCTGAGTTTGTTGCACAATAGACAACTATCACTAAAGGACTAGTAACATACTAACATACTGGACTTAGCTTTCTGTATACAGAGTCACAGGTCTTCCCTCAGTCCTCAAGACATTTGATCTATAGTCAGGGGCTTAGTTCATGACTACAAATCCATAGTCAATCCATAGGATTGTTATTTTTTTCATGTGAGAAGGTTGTCGTCGCGTGTCTGTACGCCGCTCCCACCATGGCCTCAAACATGGCGACCTCCGACCTGTCCGAGACATGGAGGAACTGTTTCGAAGAGGAGCTGATCTGCCCCATCTGCCTGCACGTCTTCTCCGAGCCTATCCAGCTGCCCTGTAAGCACAACTTCTGCCGGGGCTGCATCTCTGAGGCCTGGGCTAAAGACACCACCCTGGTCCGCTGCCCCGAGTGCAACCACGCCTACAGCCAGAAGCCTGCTCTGGAGAAGAACCACAAGCTGTCCAACATCGTGGACAAGTTCAACGCGTTGTCCGTAGAGAAGGCCGCCTCGCCGGTGCTGCAGTGTATTCTGTGCCGCCGTGGCCCGCCACTCCCGGCTGTCAAGGTTTGCCTGCGCTGTAGCGCCCCCTGTTGCCAGAGCCACGTCCAGACACACCTGCAGCAGCCCTGCTCCGCCCTGGGACATCTGCTGGTGGAGGCTGAGGCGGTCAAGGCCTGGACGTGTCCTCAGCACGACGAGTACAGACTGTACCACTGTGAGGCAGAACAGACGGCCGTGTGTCAATACTGCTGCTTCACGCGATGCCATCCCAGTCACGGACACGGGGTCACTGACGTGGAGCTACGACGCAACGATATACGGGTAAGACTAAAATTTATGTCTCTTACACCCATTCCTTTGGTTAAGAACAAAGCAGCCCAAAATTGGGGGAAAGTGTGTGTCAATCCTCCGGTGTATGCATTTTTCAATTGTGATCCAATCCAACCCCCATTCTCTCATCTGTTGAGAGTGACAAACAATGTGTTGGAGGGCTGGAACAATGAGGGGTCTAAGCCAGCCTTATCTCCCCAGCACAGGTGCATCCTAGTCTGGGACCACCAGCCGGCAGAGGGGGGTTGTATGGAGGGGGGGGAATGAAGTGAGATTCTTCACTCCATTCTGTGGTAGAAGAGGTGGAAGAATGGTTGTTTATGGTTTCCTTTTCGTTTTCTTGTGATTCTCTTTTATTTCCTGGGTTCTAGTAAGGAAGGCTGTGGTTAGTTAAAAACAACCAACTGTCCCCAGGTTGGGGATATGAGATGGGGGCTAGTCAGTCATACAGGCTTTTCTCCTGACTCATATTGGTGACTACTTCTGGCCTCTGACTCCGTTTTAGGGAACTGTTAATACTCTGTGTGCACTAGCCTGTTAGTAGCCTACTCCATGGGTGGGATCAACCACATTGGAAGGGTTAGGAAGGTTCTTGTATAACAAACTACAGTGTGAATTCCTGTCCTCTGATTCTCCCTGTGACTGACTACCATCTCCATTTGTAATGAGTGACTCTGGGAGCCTAAAGTTAATGTACTGTGACAGTGTTACTGCTTAAGTGCATCTTGTGGTGGTGGCAGAGGGGGTAGAGATGCCCCCTAGCCTCCACCATGGTCCCCAGCACTACCCCATCTCCCCAGGGCATGACTGACCTACCTCCCCATATCACTCTTCTCCACTGGGGGTCCTGGTGGAAAATATGTTGGATAGAAATGACTGATAGATATGCCATCTCCCCCCAGTACCCCTTAATGGTACTGAACGTCCCCCATGCAGAGAGGTACTGCTGTCCCCCACCACCCCTCCACCCACCCCCACTATCCATCCCTGCCCAAGGCTTCTGCCCTGAGCCTGATTTCTATCAGCATTCAGGTCACAGACCACTACTACCGTGGGCGTGCAGCAAGATGCTATAGGAGCAGTGTCCTGCCCTACTTATAACCTTTGCCCCCAGGAAGTGGAATTGTTCTATTTGTGTCTTGTTTCCTCTACTGAATTCCAAATTGAAATCCCACATTTCAGATCCAGAGAGGTTCCCAAGGGATGGAGGCTAGGGCTCGATTTGGGATTGGGAATGTCTGTGAATTCCTTATTGTGTTTTTTGCCTCAGTTTTGCATCAGTTGCGCTGGCTGGCGTGGCACTCTGGTTTGGCCAGTCTGGGCATGTGTTGTAGCCGTGCCAATGCCAGCCCAGAATAACTAGTGTTGTTTTGACAACAGTACCATGAGTGGGCCTAATGTCTGTGTGTATGTGGTGTTCTGAGAAAGGAGGAGCATCCGGAGGAGAGAAGGGTAGAAGAGTATCTATCTGGCTGCGCCCTGTTCTCGCTCTCTTGCTCATACCTCATTCACCACAAATAGCTATTGGTTGCCATGACAGCTCCCTCCCTCAGATAAGCTGTTTGTTAGATGGAGACTAAATTGGCTGGCTCAGCCTGCTAGAGGCCTAGTGGTGTTTCTCTTCTCATATTATCATTTTCATTGGTTTGTTCGGCTATGTATGAGGAGTTATCGAACCCAACTATGAATGACATTACCATTTCTCTCTCTCAGCAAAATCTATTGCGGCAGCAGGAGAGGGTGGAGGAGAGAGTTCAGGACATTGATGAGCAGCTCTGTAAACTCGACTCTGACAAGTGTGTGGTGGAGGTACGTCTGATTTCTCTCACAAACACTCTCTTTCTCTCTCTCCCACACACCTCAGCCAGTGAGCACAGGCTGCACACACATGTATAACAGTCTGTTCTCTCCTACAGGACAGAGTGTGTGAGCTGAAAGAGGAGGTGCGTGTGCAGTACCAGCGGATGCAGCACTTCTTGGAAGAAGATCTGTCCCGAACGCTGGAGGTTCTAGAGCGGGCGCGTTCTAGGTTCTGCCAGGAGAACGCAGGCCAGGTTCTAGCTCTGGGAGAACAGAGACACGAGGCCCAGAAGCTGCTCAGCTCGGTCCACACGGCCTTCGGCAAGGCTGAGGAGCTGGGCTTCATGAAGAATACCAAACCTGTCAAGATCCTCATGGAGAGGTGAGAGACAGGGGACATTACACAGATGTTATAAAAAAGTTAGTAGAGATACAGAAAGGCGCTTACATGCGACTTATTGCACACGTATTACAACTGTAGTCATGTTAGAATTGTCATGATACACATCATTATTTATTTAGGAGAACAGAATTCCAAACTCCTTACAAATCTTTTTATGACAGGATAGGACATGTAGTAGGGAGACAGAGTTGACAGAGCAGAAATGCGTAGGGCTCATGCGGGGATCGAACCGGGACTATAGTTTTAATGGAGCGCTAATATACCAGGCTTGTTACATGCATATTTGTGTGTTGCAGGTCTCAAGCGTGCGTGGGCAGTGCGCTCCCTCCCTACAAGGTGGGCAGTCTCAACTCTAAGCTGTTCCTGTCAGAACTCTCCAAGCGAGAGAAGAGCCTACGGAAAACATTGGAAGGTAGGATCGAGAGAATGATCTTTACAGAATCTTCACACCCTTATCTGATTATTTGTGTTGGTAGATCAAGGTAATTCATATTTGGCTTTGTAAGTCTGATCCCCCTCTCTTTCTCTCCCTCCCCCTCCAGCCCCCCTAGCCCCTCCCTCCTCGTTCCTCCAGTCCGTCCAGGCATATCCCAGCGGCCTCGGCTCCGGGGCAGAGAAACGCAAACACTCCTCGGCCTTCCCAGAAAGCAACGGAAGCGCTGGGAAAACGGCTTCTTCCGGGTTCAATGACTCCTCTTCCTCTTCTAAGCAGCCCTACCTGGGCCCAAACTCTGCCCCCGGGGAGGGCCAATCCTCCAATCAGCAGCTTCTGGGTCCCTGTGGCCCCTCCCACATGAACGAAGGTGGCGGAACAGGAAGTGGAAGTGGCTCTCTAACCAATCACCATTCAGGGTCTGTGTTCAGTCCCTCCCACTTCCCCCCTGCCAGCGGTAGCTCCTCCCATTCTTCTCAGCCGGCAGTGCTCCCCCAGTATGGCGGGCGTAAGATCCTGGTGTGTACCATGGATAACTGCTACTGCTCCGGGGTACCCTCAGTGTCGGGGCACCGCGGCCACCCTCCCTACCCACGTTCAGGCTCCTTTCCCTGGGTAAGCGCCCAGGACTACCCCCCTCCCCCCGGCCTGGCCTCTGGAGCTCCAGCCATGCAAGGATTGGCTGTCAGAGACTGGATAGACGCACAGCAGACGCACAGACACACAGACTTCTATGGCCTGTATGGGCAACCCTCCACCAAGCACTATGTCACCAGTTAACACACATACATCTATATATACACACTTCTACAGGCAAACAGCTCTCCACTAAGCACTACGCTACTAGTTAAATACGCACACATGCTCATGTAGACACACACACAGAATAAATATATATAGGTACATACACAGACGTTCACTTCTACATGTTATACGGACAGTCCTCTGCTAAGCACCATGTTACAACTCATAGATGCACTTACACACACTCTCGGGGGCAGGGTTGACACATGTATTAGTTTTCTCTGTCAGACAGACACACAGTGTACTGTATGATGATCTCTGTCTTTGTGCAGAAACTGTTGATGCTGAAGCACTTCGGCTCAAATGAAATGTTTTAGCGACATCTCCCTCCCCGTCGTAGTGAGATCGATAGCCTTATGTTGTTATTATTAATGTTCTAATTATAATTTTCTGTTTATTGAACATGGTCTGATAACTGTGTAAAGAGAATGGTGGTTTATTATTGTTAGAGCTCTGGTTTTGTCTCCTTGCTGAGTTCAGGGATGTACTGTGCAGCTTGAACACACACGTTCTTCCAGGTTCTCTTCTGTGTGTGGGCTGGGACCCCCTCCCATGCACTTTTTGGGGGGGGGGGGGGGGGGGGGGGGGGGGGGGGGGGGGGGGGGATTTCTCTCTGTGTAGAAGTTGCTTTGTAGACAGGTCTAGGATTAGTTTACCCTCCCTGTAGACACAGGTCCAGGATCAGCTGACCCGTCCCCCAGTCCTAACCTTAAACATCAGGGGGTCAAATGGCAGAAACTGGCCCTAGATCAGGGTTTATGGGCAACTGTAAACCTACTTCATTATGGACCTTCTTTATTCCCATTGATTCGGATCCCAATCCCATCGGAGAGGGGATCCGACCCCCTTCCATTGTGCTGCCAGGCTGTCTCCTTTGTTTTCTAGTTATTAATATACAGATCATGACACATGAGCGATTCCCATATGGCATATGAGTAATCATACCATATGAGCAGGTATCATGTTTGTCTTAAAGACAGTTGGACTCGTAGACAGGATGGTGGCTCAGCGAGCAACTACATGGCCTGGGCTGGACTGGACAGACCAAACAAATCAACTCAAGCATCTGGGAGTGTGACGGTGACTATGCGTTAATAATGTACTTCCTGCAGGGTGATGTCACTTCCTTTTAACAAGCACACGCTCTCTGCTTCCTGTTTGCAGCTGTAAGCATGCGGGGAAGAGTTTTATAAAGCACTCTGGAATAAAAAATAAAAAACCTACAAGAAATGAAAAATAAAAAAAGATGAGCAGAAGTAATGGTTGAGGGGTTTTTTCATGAACTTTTTCTAAGAGAGAAACTGGACTGCTCAGCGTAAGCATTGGATTAAAAAAAAAACGCTGAAAAGGAACTGTTACAAGAACAGTCGACCAATAGGAGAAAAAAAATGGGGAAAAGTATCTTTTTTGTAAATATTTTGTGAAATGAAAAATAAAGGACATGTCATTTGGAGGGTTCCAAATAAATCAAGGAATTTAATTCAGTTACTTCCCTTCATTTCTTGATCACAACCCAAGTCTCTTCTTCTTTTCTCTCTTGTCAGCCTTTATTTTCAGATCTGTCAAGTAAAGTGTTTTTTGATAGGTTTTACTTACTGATACAGAACTGAACTACACTTCTACATGAATGTGGATGCTACCATGATGATGGATAATCCTGGATGATGAGTGAAAAGGTTTGACGCACAAATGTCATACCCGCAAGACATGCTAACCTCACCATTACAATAACGGGAGGTTAGCATTTGGGGGGGGGGGGGTTATGATATTTGTGCGCATATAACTTTCTCACTTATCATTATTCACGGTTCATTCAGGATTATCCGTCATCATGGTAACATCCACATTCATGTAGAAGTGTTTAGAATTGTTCTCTTCTTATTTACAATAAAAGTGACCCCAAAATGACATGATTTACCATTAATTTCTATTGGGCACAAAATAAAATGAAACACAACCAAAACAAACAGCAAATGCATCCAACAAATTTGTAGAGTCACAAGCTTGATGTAGTCATTGTGTGCTATGAATATGGGACCAAATACTTAACCTCTTACTACTTTAATACACATGTAAGGGAATTTGTCCCAATACTTTTGCTCCCCTAAAATGGGGGGACTATGTACAAAAAGTGCTGTAATTCCTAAACGGTTCACCCGATATGGATGGAAATACACATTAAAGCTGACAGTCTGCACTTTAACCTCATAGTCGTTGTTTGATTTCAAATCCAAAGTTCTGAAGTATAGAGACAAAAGAATAAAAAATGCTTCACTGTGCCAAAAATGACAGAGGGCACTGTAAATGTCATCACTTGGTATGTAGTGGGTTGAAGGGGAGACTCCCATGAGAATACAACCACCACACATATGGTAAGACATCAAACTAACCCTGTCATTTACTAGGTGTTCGCCTGAGTGAAGCTGCCAGAAAGACCCTGTGGTCAGGGGTAGTAGACACACAGTCAATAAAGTTGTCCTGATCTTTCTCTGTAGTGATGAGTCAGGGGTGGGAGCCTCTCTTTCCCTCCCTCTCTTTCACTCAATCTCAAACACTGGATAAAAGTTGTTCTGCTCTGTCTCTGGTGGAGTCAGGGGTGGGGAAGTTGGTAAAACCTTGAGGATAGGTTATAAAGAAAGCTGAGCTCCAGTAAACAAACACGCCGTTGGAGAAGTCAGCTAATCTCTGAGGCGAGATTGGTCTGTGGAGGGCCAGGCGGCTGGGTTTGCTGTCCACCCCCTCACCCGTACAGCTCACACACACAGTCGTCTGTTAACCCGAGAAATTACCGAAAGAGAAACTGAGATCCACCCACTGCGCCCACCAACAGAACACAATACTAACATCAGTAGTGATATATCAGCAGGTTTTTATTGCAGTGGAAACTTCATGAGTAGTGGAGGCACATCTGAGAAAGAGAGAGTGGAATCTATGTCTAACAGGGTGGGTTTGTGTGTTTCAGCCTGACTAAGCTGTAGCTTTAAAGCTTTCTGCCACCTAGCATGTTGGACCTCAATCCTCTTCAGCTAGCAGGGATGGTCCACTATTATTTTTGTGTGTGTGCTTTTGTGTGTCAGAGAAAGAGAGAGTAGGAGAGAGTTTTTATTTTTGTATAAAAAATGTTATTGGCACATCCACAAGCAGCAAGCTAGCTCATTCTCCTTCTTCGGATGACAACAGTAACTTTGTTTTACATTTGACTTCTTTACAGCTATTTTGTTACATATACATTATTCATACATTTCACATTCATGATATTTCTACACACAGTATTACATGACAGAAAATAGAGTTTGATTTACACATTAAATGGTACTCAGACATATTTGGTATACATGATACAGTATATGGTGTTTTTGGTCCTAACTATTACAGATCATGAGCTTTTGGCGTAGGGGAGATGTTGTGTATGTGTGGAAACAGGAGGACATTACTATCTGCTCGTCGTCAACAAGGTTTGGCTTGTCTAATACGTTTCTTTAAACCCATAGTCCTAGCTAGGCCATGCATGTGCAGGTTCACTAATCTCTCCATCATCAGCATGTCGATACCTAGCTCTGGTCCAGGGCGTTAGTGTGGCTTGCTAACGCTGAGCTCAGTATTAGCAAGCTGCACTTAATGCCCTGGACCAGAGCTAGTTGATGCACGATGGTTTGGACGGTGAGGTGATTTGTAGATCAGATAATCTCCAGCAAAGCACGGAGCTCAGGCCGACCCTGGCCAACAAACAGTATCACATGACTCTTGGTTGATATGCTAACACACATAAGAGTGTTTGATATGCTAACCCTATTATCTGTAGCTCTCATGGGAAAATGGACTCAGGAAGACATGGGCTTGGTGGGTGAGGTAGGAAGATGTATGAGGTGTATTGAGAGCGTATGGTTTGATGTATCTTAACATTTCAAAGTGATGCACATTCTTATAATGCATGATCCTTTTCTCCTCCACGTCTTCCCCACCTTCTGTGCAACTCCCACCTATTTCCTATCTGTTGGTGGGATATGATATCTGTTTCCTGTTTCATCTGTCATCATTGCAACTCAGATGTGATTAGTTGAAGAGAAAGGGGCCGGTATGAAGCATGCTGGTTTGGGATTTGAGTGGTTGGTCTATTTCTCTTTCTCTTAGGAGAGAGAGGGGAGGCGAGAGGAGAGAGAGAGAGAGTAGAGAGAGAGTAGAGAGAGAGAGGAGAGCGAGATAGAGAGAGTAGGAGAAGAGAGAAAGGGAGAGACGGAGCTTTCGAGCTTATTGTAGATTTTCTCTTTCGTGGTCTAGATCTCGCTTTTTTCTCTCTCTTCGATCTCGTCTGTCTCTCTCTCTCTCTCTCTCTCTCTCTCTCTCTCTCTCTCTCTCTCTCTCTCTCTCTCTTACACACATACACAGCTGTCTTGATTCATGAGGAGAAAAAGGCGGTAATCCTGTCGCCTCAAAGATAGGCATCACACTCCCCTCTGTCTGGCTCCTCATGTCGCCCAAACACACACACACAACTTTTATGCACAGATAAACCAACCACAGAACTTTGTGTTCTCTCAATCAGATTGTAGAAGATAACAGGCCTTAAAGGCCCAGTGCGGTCAAAACATTTATTTCCCTGTGTTTTATATCTATTTCCACACTATGAGGTTGGAATAATACTGTGAAATTGTGAAAATGATCATAATGCCCTTATAGTGTAAGCTGTTTGAAAGACTGCCTGAAATGTCAGCCTATTTTGGTGGGATGGAGTTTTGACCTGCCTGGTGACATCCCCAGGTGGTAAATTAGTTAATATACCAATAAGAAAGAGAGTTCCAAACCTCTCTGCCAATAACGGCTAATTTTCTGTTTTCCGCTGCCCACTCAGACCATTCCCAGAAAATTCTTGCTTGAGAAATTGCTCTATGCCGAGATGCTATTTTTGTTTATTTTTGACCATTTTAATTGAAAAAAATCACAGTAAGGTACACTATATATACAAAAGTATGTGGACACCCCTTCAAATTAGTGGGTTCGGCTATTTCAGCCACACCCATTGCTGACAGGTGTATAAAATTGAGCACACAGCCATATCTCCATAGACAAACATTGGCAGTAGAATGGCATGCGCAATTTAAAGCGTCGGCTGGAGTGGTGTAAAGCTCACCGCCATTGGACTCTGGAGCAGTGGAAACGCGTTCTCTGGAGTGATGAATCATGCTTCACAATCTGGCAGTCCCACGGACAAATCTAGGTTTGGTGGATGCCAGGAGAATGCTACCTGCCCCAATGTATAGTGCCAATTGTAAAGTTTGGTGGAGAAGGAATAATGGTCTGGGGCTGTTTTTCATGGTTCGGGCTAGGCCCCTTAGTTCCAGTGAAGGGAAATCTTAACGCTACAGCATACAATTACATTCTAGACAATTCTGTGCTTCCAGCTTTGTGGCAACAGTTTGGGGAAGGCCCTTTCCTGTTTCAGCATGACAATAACCCCCTTGCACAAAGCAAGGTCCATACAAAAATGGTTTGTCGAGATCGGTGTGGAAGAACTTGACTGGACTGCACAGAGCCCTGACCTCAACCCCATTGAACACCTTTGGGATGAATTGGAACGCCGGGGGGTTAGAAGGATTACTTTATCCTATCCCAGGTGTTCCTTAAAGAGGAACTCCATATTAATGCCCATGATTTTGGAATGAGATGTTCAACGAGCAGTTGTCCACATACTTTTGGTCATGTAGTGTACTTAATTGTTACCCAGAAATTATTTGATATTGAGATAAAAACAGCTGCATTGGACTGTCTCTGTGCCCAAATGACACCCTATTCCCTATGTAGTGCACTACTTTTGACCAGGGTTCCAAGGGCTCTGGTCAAAAGTAGTGCACTGTGTAGGAAATAGGATGCCATTTGGGACGTCGCCTCTCGGTCTATGCCCAGAGATTTAAAGACATCTGCACTTTGATCTTAATGTCTGAGCATAACGATCTAATTTAACAGACACTTTGATCCAAAGCCCCACACACAGTTAGCAGCCTGTGGCCCATGTAGGAATCGAGAGGAGAGAAATAAGTGTTTCACAATGGGTCTTTGTAAGAGCAGAGACATTTTATAGTCCCACAGGCCCTCAGAATGCATCGCTCTCTCACACACACAGCTGGAAGTCAGTGTTTTATGGCCAGTGTTCTCTCCCCTGTAGCAGATGCAACACCCTCACAACTATGTGCAGCAGGCCTGAACCAACCACTGAACAGCTACGGTCTGACTAGTAGTTAAACATAGGCCTGTAGGAATCGACTGTGGCGGAGTGGTTAGACTAGCTATAAAGGCTGCCAGCCACGACAAACACAGAGAGCTGCCCATTCAGGGGCCCAACCAGCTGGGCCTTGACAATGTCAAAACCAGCTGACCCCACCTGCCTGAGGCGATGTTAGTCTGTTACCCCACCTGTGTGTGTGGCATTAGTGTTTTGGAGATGAAAAAGGCTCTGGTGTGGGGTCTCTCCAGGGACTGTCAACGACAAGGGTCTGGGCAGCGGAGATGTTTTTTGGTCAGGCGGTGTTGTCTGGGGTAAAGTGGTGTCCTCCACAGCTCCACAGGGCATCACACAGAACTGTGTGTGTGTTGGCTGGGCCTCTATACTACCACTCTACAGCCAGGTCAGAAAACAATGCAATTTTTCCCATCACATTTTATTCACGTACCTTCAATCCTTGGACAGATCACATTCAAGAATATCAAAAAGAAAAGGCCTTTTGTGTAAATGCCCTCTAAAACCCAAGACAATGAAACACACATGAGAAACACATTGTCATTTATCCCTGTTAAAATCTATCAACACCAGTGTAGGCTGGTGGGAGGAGTTATAGGAGGATGGGCTCATTGTAATGGCTGGAATGGAATCAACGGAACAGAGTCAAACATGTGGTTTCCATATGTTTGATACCGTTCCATTCCAGCCATTACAATGAGCCCGTCCTCCTATAGCTCCTCCCACCAGCCTCCACTGATCAACACATACGTTACATATGCAGATACGATAGATTACATAGTACAGGTGTAATATATACTCTACTGCATGTGCATAACATAACATATGAATAGGGGGGCGAGTTATATACAATTGATCATCAAAAATGTAGTATTTTTCCATTTAATTTAATAGACTTCGTCCAAAATGGAACACTATTCACTAGATAGGGCTCTACTCATATGGGCTGTGGTCGACTCAAGTTCATTATTTAGGGAACAGGGTGCCATTTCAGATTTGCCCTATAGTGTTCTTTTATTTTATTTTATTTACACACGTAACCTTTTCACAGGGGAGTAAAGCACAGTATACAATGTTGCCCTGTTATCCTAGTAACCAGTAACCGTAACCACACACCGTTTCTGTTATTTGTAAGCATCCTAGAGTAGGCTATTACCCTCTACTTCATCATAAATAGAGAATTACAAAAATATACCCCACTTCAAACAGAACTGCAGCGAGAAAAGAGCTTGGAGCATGGAATAAAAAACAACAACTGAGCAAACTGTACGAATAAGAAAAAGGGGGAAAGAGAGATGAGACAGAAAGAGAGATCAAATGAGAGGGGGAGAGAGGTAGTCTGGGTAACAGTCTCCTGTGATGCTTTGGCATATGACACAGAGTACAAGGAGTGGAATGTAAGCTAAACAGACTGGTACCCAGGCTAGGAGAGAGGGAAGAGAAAGAGAGAAGAGAGGCTGGTGTTGTGGTGAAGGACAGTAGAAAGGTCTGGAATGTCACGGGCGGAATGTCAGGCTGGGAGGTCTCCTGGGATGGGTTTCCTTCCCTTTGTACCCCCAAATACAAATACTTAATTTTGAAGAGCAACAATGGAAGTTGTAGTTCTAGCGAGAGTTGTAGTTTAGTAAACAATGTGTAGAGACCAGCCAGGCAGTTAAAAACTTTCTTCAAGTCCATGTTGGTTTAGTGTGTACATTCACAGGTACACCCCGTCCTCTCACAGGCTCAGGGCGTGTGTGTGTGTGAAAGCAGACAGCTGTGCTACTTCTTCTTAGCGTTGACGCTCTTGCAGACCCAGTTCATTCCGTCCTGAAAGGAAACAGAAAGAGAATAAAATGTCACTTCCTGAATTGAAAACATGAATTGACCCCAACCCCTGTTGTAGATGGATGGGTTATGGCTGGTGTCTCACCTGTACCCCCTCTCCGGTGAGGGCGGAGCAGGACTGGATCTGCCAGACGCGGTCCCGGATAGTGTGCAGGTTGAGTCCCTCAGCGATCTCAGAAGCTGGGGCAGCCGTCAGCAGGTCTTGCTTGTTGGCAAAGATCAGCACTGGAACCCCACTCAGCTTCTCCTCATCCAACAGCTCAGCCAGCTCCTAGAACACAAGCACGCATCAGCATGGGATCCCAATATAAACTTATGTATACGCAGAATATGCACATTACACAGCCCACGAACATCACTGAAGAGAAAGAAAACTCACCTGTCCCGTCTCCTCAAATCTTTTTCTGTCTGCACTGTCGATGACGTAAATCTGAAATACGGTAGTGTCTCCATTCAAAATTATTAAATCGCACACTACTGGTGGTGTGTGTGTGTGTGTGTGTGTGTGTGTGTGTGTGTGTGTGTGTGTGTGTGTGTGTGTGTGTGTGTGTGTGTGTGTGTGGTGTGTGTGTGTGTGTGTGTGTGTGTGTGTGTGTGTGTGTATGTATGTATGTATGTATGTATGTATGTATGTATATATATATATATATATATATATATATATATATATATATATATATATATATATACAGCTCTGGAAAAAATTAAGAGACCACTGCAAATGTTTCTTAAATCAGCATCTCTACATGTATGACAGCCATTCCATTCCAGTGTTTGTTGAATTCCAACACAGGCACACCTCATTCTACTGAATTAGGTACTGATTAGGTGATCACATGAACCAAATCTTATTTAACGAGGAAAAGTATAAAAACCACTGCTGTGGTCATCACTATCCTCTTGCAATAGGACCAGCTGGATGGCAAAAACAGTGCTAATAGTACCTCAAAAGTAATATTAATCAAAAAATAACAATGGACCATGCCAAAAGAGTTGAAAAGGAAAGTTTTGAGTGAGGAAATGAAGGGTTCAATTCTGGCTTTACTGGCAGAGGGATACAGTGAGCGTCAGGTTGCTTCCGTCCTTAAAATGTCATAGACGGTGGTTCATAAGAACAAGGTAAAGCAGCAGACATTGGGGACAACAAAGCTACAGACCGGCACAGGGTGAAAACGACTCTCTACTGACCGGGATGACCGCCAACTCATTTGAATGTCACTCAACAACCGTAGGATGACATCAAGTGACCTACAAAAATAATGGCAAACGGCAGCTGGGGTGAAGTGCACGGCGAGGACGGTTCGAAACAGGCTCCTAGGGGCAGGGCTGAAGTTGTGCAAAGCTAGAAAAAAGCCCTTCATCAATGAGAAGCAAAGAAGAGCCAGGCTGAGGTTTGCAAAAGACCATAAGGATTGGACCGTAGAGGACTGGAGTAAGGTCATTTTCTCTGATGAGTCCAATTTTCAGCTTTGCCCAACACCTGGTCGTCTAATGGTTAGACGGAGACCTGGAGAGGCCTACAAGCCACAGTGTCTCGCACCCACTGTGAAATTTGGTGGAGGATCGGCGATGATCTGGGGGTGCTTCAGCAAGGCTGGAATCGGGCAGATTTGTCTTTGTGAAGGACGCATGAATCAAGCCACGTACAAGGTTGTCCTGGAAGAAAACCTGCTTCCTTTTGCTCTGACATTGTTCCCCAACTCTGAGGATTGGTTTTTCCATCAGGACAATGCGCCATGCCACACAGCCAGGTCAATCAAGGTGTGGATGGAGGACCACCAGATCAAGACCCTGTCATGGCCAGCCCAATCTCCAGACCTGAACCCCATTGAAAACTTCTGGAATGTGATCAAGAGGAAGATGGATGGTCACAAGCCATCAAACAAAGCCGAGCTGCTTGAATTTTTGCGCCAGGAGTGGCATAAAGTCACCCAACATCAATGTGAAAGACTGGTGGAGAGCATGCCAAGACGCATGAAAGCTGTGATTGAAAATCAGGGTCATTCCACCAAATATTGATTTATGAACTCTTTCTAAGTTAAAACATTAGTATTGTGTTGTTTAAAAATGAACATGAACTTATTTTCTTTGCATTAATCGAGGTCTGACAACACTGCATCTTTTTTGTTATTTTGAACAGTTGTCATTTTCTGCAAATAAATGCTCTAAATGACAATCTTTTTATTTGGAATTTGTGAGAAATGTTGTCAGTAGTTTATAGAATTTAAAAAAAGGTTAATTTTACCCAAACACATACCTATAAATAGTAAAACCAGAGAAACTGATAATTTTGCAGTGGTCTCTTAATATTTTCCAGAGCTGTATACAGTGGGGGAAAAAAGTATTTAGTCAGCCACCAATTGTGCAAGTTCTCCCACTTAAAAAGATGAGAGAGGCCTGTAATTTTCATCATAGGTACACGTCAACTATGACAGACAAAATGAGAATTTTTTTTCCAGAAAATCACATTGTAGGATTTTTAATGAATGTATTTGCAAATTATGGTGGAAAATAAGTATTTGGTCAATAACAAAAGTTTCTCAATACTTTGTTATATACCCTTTGTTGGCAATGACACAGGTCAAACGTTTTCTGTAAGTCTTCACAAGGTTTTCACACACTGTTGCTGGTATTTTGGCCCATTCCTCCATGCAGATCTCCTCTAGAGCAGTGATGTTTTGGGGCTGTCGCTGGGCAACACGGACTTTCAACTCCCTCATTTTCTATGGGGTTGAGATCTGGAGACTGGCTAGGCCACTCCAGGACCTTGAAATGCTTCTTACGAAGCCACTCCTTCGTTGCCCGGGCGGTGTGTTTGGGATCATTGTCATGCTGAAAGACCCAGCCACGTTTCATCTTCAATGCCCTTGCTGATGGAAGGAGGTTTTCACTCAAAATCTCACGATACATGGCCCCATTCATTATTTCCTTTACACGGATCAGTCGTCCTGGTCCCTTTGCAGAAAAAGAGCCCCAAAGCATGATGTTTCCACCCCCATGCTTCACAGTAGGTATGGTGTTCTTTGGATGCAACTCAGCATTCTTTGTCCTCCAAACACGACGAGTTGAGTTTTTACCAAAAAGTTATATTTTGGTTTCAACTGACCATATGACATTCTCCCAATCCTCTTCTGGATCATCCAAATGCAAACTTCAGACGGGCCTGGACATGTATTGGCTTAAGCAGGGGGACACGTCTGGCATTGCAGGATTTGAGTCCCTGGCGGCGTAGTGTGTTACTGATGTTAGGCTTTGTTACTTTGGTCCCAGCTCTCTGCAGGTCATTCACTAGGTCCCACCGTGTGGTTCTGGGATTTTTGCTCACCGTTCTTGTGATCATTTTGACCCCACGGAGTGAGATCTTGTGTGGAGCCCCAGATCGAGGGAGATTATCAGGGGTCTTGTATGTTTTCCATTTCCTAATAATTGCTCCCACAGTTGATTTCTTCAAACCAAGCTGCTTACCTATTGCAGATTCAGTCTTCCCAGCCTGGTGCAGGTCTACAATTTTGTTTCTGGTGTCCTTTGACAGCTCTTTGGTCTTGGCCATAGTGGAGTTTGGAGTGTGACTGTTTGAGGTTGTGGACAGGTGTCTTTTATACTGATAACAAGTTCAAACAGGTGCCATTAATACAGGTAACGAGTGGAGGACAGAGGAGCCTCTTAAAGAAGAAGTTACAGGTCTGTGAGAGCCAGAAATCTTGCTTGTTTGTAGGTGACCAAATACTTATTTTCCACCATAATTTGCAAATAAATTCATAAAAAATCCTACAATGTGATTTTCTGGAAAAAAAAATCTCAATTTGTCTGTCATAGTTGGCGTGTACCTATGAAGAAAATTACAGGCCTCTCTCATCTTTTTAAGTGGGAGAACTTGCACAATTGGTGGCTGACTAAATACTTTTTCCCCCCACTGTATATATATATATATATACTGTGGGGAGAACAAGTATTTGATACACTGCCGATTTTGCAGGTTTTCCTACTTACAAAGCATGTAGAGGTCTGTAATTTTTATCATAGGTACACTTCACCTGTGAGAGACGGAATCTAAAACATATTGTATGATTTTTAAGTAATTAATTTGCATTTTATTGCATGACATAAGTATTTGATCACCTACCAACCAGTAAGAATTTCGGCTCTCACAGACCTGTTAGTTTTTCTTTAAGAAGCCCTCCTGTTCTCCACTCATTACCTGTATTAACTGCACCTGTTTGAACTCGTTACCTGTATAAAAGACACCTGTCCACACACTCAATCAAACAGACTCCAACCGCAAAAAAAAATGGAAGAAGTTCAAGATGACGGTCAATCACCTTCGGTCTGGGGCTCCATGCAAGATCTCACCTCGTGGGGCATCAATGATCATGAGGAAGGTGAGGGATCAGCCCAGAACTACACGGCAGGACCTGGTCAATGACCTGAAGAGAGCTGGGACCACAGTCTCAAAGATAACCATTAGTAACATACTACAACGTCATTGATTAAAATCCTGCAGCGCACGCAAGGTCCCCCTGCTCAAGCCAGCGCATGTCCAGGCCCGTCTGAAGTTTGCCAATGACCATCTGGATGATCCAGAGGAGGAATGGGAGAAGGTCATGTGGTCTGATGAGACAAAAATATAGCTTTTTGGTCTAAACTCCACTCGCCGTGTTTGGAGGAAGAAGAAGGATGAGTACAACCCCAAGAACACCATCCCAACCGTGAAGCATGGAGGTGGAAACATCATTCTTTGGGGATGCTTTTCTGCAAAGGGGACAGGACGACTGCACCGTATTGAGGGGAGGATGGATGGGGCCATGTATCGCGAGATCTTGGCCAACAACCTACTTCCCTCAGTAAGAGCATTGAAGATGGGTCGTGGCTGGGTCTTCCAGCATGACAACGACCCGAAACACACAGCCAGGGCAACTAAGGAGTGGCTCCGTAAGAAGCATCTCAAGGTCCTGGAGTGGCCTAGCCAGTCTCCAGACCTGAACCCAATAGAAAATCTTTGGAGGGAGCTGAAAGTCCGTATTGCCCAGCGACAGCCCCGAAACCTGAAGGATCTGGAGAAGGTCTGTATGGAGGAGTGGGCCAAAATCCCTGCTGCAGTGTGTGCAAACCTGGTCAAGACCTACAGGAAACGTATGATCTCTGTAATTGCAAACAAAGGTTTCTGTACCAAATATTAAGTTCTGCTTTTCTGATGTATCAAATACTTATGTCATGCAATAAAAAGCAAATTAATTACTTAAAAGTCATACAATGTGATTTTCTGGATTTTTGTTTTAGATTCCGTCTCTCACAGTTGAAGTGTACCTATGATAAAAATTACAGACCTCTACATGCTTTGTAAATAGGAAAATCTGCAAAATTGGCAGTGTATCAAATACTTGTTCTCCCCACTGTATAAAAGTAATACCCCCGTAAAGGAAGCTATGGTTGAGCCACTCACCAGCACGTCAGTGTTCTCAAAGTAGTTTCTCCAGTAGGGTCTGATCTTCCTCTGTCCCCCGATGTCCCACACATTCAGCTTAAAACCCTGAGACTGAACACTCTTTATGTTGAAGCCCTGGAGAGAGGGAGAGAGAGAGAGAGGGGGGGGGGGGTTAAAGTGTTAGGGCTTTATTTTAACAAATCTAAGGCAATGGTAAATCTAAGTGCTGGCGGCAGTGCTATAGGTCTGGGGGTGTGTCAGAGATATTTTTGCTATTTTCACAGCCGGAATTATGAGCGCAATAGCTGGCGGTGGCGCGAAAGGGCTGGGTTTCGATGAATAAACAAGCTGTAGGGCTTTATTTTAACAAATCTAAGGCAATGGTAAATCTAAGTGCTGGCGGCAGTGCTATAGGTCTGGGGGTGTGTCAGAGATATTTTTGCTATTTTCACAGCAGGAATTATGAGCGCAATAGCTGGCGGTGGCGCGAAAGGGCTGGGTTTCGATGAATAAACACGCTGTAGGTGTGACTAGGGCTTGGCCACTCACTGGCCAATCAAGGTATTCCATGGCTTAATACTGCATGAGTTCATCTTAAGTTCCGTAGGTTATTGACGGTCTTTGCGTTGTCATCAACTCCAATTCGACTGGGGGCACGGAATATTCTCATCCTAGTCCATTGTGGATAGATACTACAGTTTACAGTATTAAATAGCATAGGCTACAGTAATGAGTGATAGCAAAAACAAAAAAAACAAAAAAAACAGTGTTTTCTCAATATGTTGGAGTGTTGACAGGCAACATCTTAATTGGCTTCAACAAGTATAAACCTTTACACATTGCAATTCTACCTCAAATAAAAAAATACTAGGCTCCCCTAAATGTGTGTGTGTGTGTTCCTCATTACCTGTGTGGGGGTGATGTGACTGATGTCCTCAGAGGCCAGTTGTTTCAGCAGCGTGGTCTTTCCTCCGTTGTCCAAACCCAGCAACAAGATCCGAACCTCCTGATCAGGTGTGCTCTTTAGCTTTCGAAGGATTGACAGCAAACCCTGCAACATATCAAAATCCGATCCGTTATGGGTTATCCTGAGTCGTGACATGACCAATGGAGGAGCTACAGGAGCATACTGGCTATTCGCCAGAAGATTCCGACCCTACCGTTACGCTCGTTTACACTGGGTTCGGAACGCAATCATGGTTACATTAAAGGAAAAATCCACCCAAAACCACTCATTCCTTTGAATTTAGTGTTAAATAACATTAATATGTGAGAACAATATTTTTTGTGAACCAATGTTTCATTTTGCCGTTATAATAAGGTTGGTAGCAACATGGAAAATTGTTGTGGAAATCTGTTGCAGCTCAAGTCGACTACAAAATCCACAACGCAATGCTCTCTCTATGGGCTGGCTGGCTAGCTAGCAAACGTAGCTACACACAATAATACCAAAAACAATATCAGCTGTAAAATAGCCTAAACACACTGCACAATCAATTTAGGAGTCTACAATCTCACCATGTTCAACCTGCAGATAGATGTGCCTCACAGAGTTGTCTAACATTCGCAATGGCAGATATACTTTTGAGGAAATGGGAAACGTTGCCCATGCTACGTCAATGGGCCGTGCGGTGCATTCTGGGCTATTCTAGGACAAGGAGCGCTCTCTGTCAAGGAGTGAATGGGAGTCTATTGGGCGCTAGCTCAAAAACCCAACATTAGCACGAATTTCATCAACAAGAAGTACAACATTACAAATCTTTTCAGAGATGTGAGATAATTAACTTGCTATCTGTAATATCGTATAGCTTTGGAATCGTGACACTGCGTACTTTCGAGGAAAATAGGCACGTTTCTTGACATACAGTATACACTGACTTTGAGAAGGGATTATGTGACGATTAGCTTAGCAACCGTGTGACGCAGCTTGACAACATGAACGCGATTGGTCGACAGTCTGCTGGGTGGGGCGTTATACGTTCCTTAATTAATTGGATTCCTATATCCTTTCTATAATATATCTGGCAACGGCACCATGCAATGCACCCTGGACTAAAGAGGCAGACAAATAATGTGCTAGACCCTCCGTTAAATATTTTTTTTATTGAGATAGGAATATCGCAAAAATATGATCAATGGCTCATTCGAGAGAAGACATCCTCCCGAGTTATGACATTGGCCAGTATTGAAATCTGACATGTATGATATACATTTTCGCAATCTAAAAGTCGTATTCCTATTAACTTCCAGTGTAGTGAGAGCGACTTTATCACAGTGCTACGTCATACCGGCCGGATTTCTGCCTGCTTGAACGCCAATAACTCAAATACACAAAAAAACATGAAATGACCCAGGGAATCGATAGAACATCATCCAGAGATGCACAAAAACAATACAACATTCAAAATGGGTGAATCTTTCGTTTAAGACACCATGGAGCCGGAACAAAATATATGTGTCGGAAAACATACCTCAATGCAGGGATAGGATATGCCACTGTACGGCAAATGTTACCTTTATCCACACTGATACATTGAGAAGATTTAAATACTGCTAGCTTTCCTGGAAAACTGCCCTTTTCGTGCTCATACTAGCTAGCAGTAGCCACTGCAGACATTTTGGAATGGCATGTTGCGTTGAACAACAAAGGAGCTGATTGGCCGACAGTGCCATTCCAAAATGGCTGCGGTGGCTACTGCTAGCTAGCATGAGCACGAAAAGGGCAGTTTTCCAGGAAAACTAGCAGTATTTCAATCTTCTCAATGTATCAGTGTGGATAAAGGTAACATTTGGAGTACAGGTGGCATATCCCATCCCTGCTTTGAGGTACGTTTTTCAAACCATATCTCGGGCAGGCTCCACAGTGTCTTAATGTAACCATGATTGCGTTCCGACCCCAGTGCAGCTCAGTGTAAACAAGTGTAAGGGTAGGGTCGGAAACTTCTGGCAAGCCTGCTGTTAAAAATGTTGCTGCCATCTTGACTATTTCAAATCTTCTCTCATTGATTGAGACAGGTGGGTGTCCACCCCAAAGTGCCACTCACCTTTTAAATAGACAAGATGGCGGCATACACATTGTTGGATTACTTCATGGAGCATTCTCTAAATTCAAACAAACCCCCTGCAACTATACATTTTTGGGGGATGTTTAGAAGACATTGGCTGTCTTCCATGTCGACCATTGAGGAAGCATCGCCAAGTTAAGGTTAGTGGAAAATTATCTGTGTTATGCAAAACAGTACCCAACCTGTAACGGATAATGGAGGTTCACATTAGTTCGTTACAATCTGCTAGTAAACCTGCTATCTAAATTAGCCAACTACTGTACCTAGCTAGCTACTTGCATCCCTCGACAACAGGCCGAACAGATGCCTGCGACTTGAGAGGATGCGCAGAGAGGATACAGAAAATAGAGAATGATTCTCGAAATAATGACGCTCTCTTCAGGATGACACGGTGGTTTCAAAGAGGGAAAGTGTTCTGAAGCGACTGAACTAGTTATGTAGCTAGCAACAGTTAACGGAGTTTACCTAGCTAGTTAGCTATACTACACATCTCATCATGATGCTAGCTAAACCAATGGCGCAACAAGACCGCTGGCGCTGCAGTCAGCTTTTGAAACATCTTTATTTTTCACCAATTTATGAATGTCTTAAAGGGTACAGTGGCAGTAATTTGAAGAAAAAAAATATATTCGATAGTATTGTTTATTATGCATTTATTCAGTTCGATCTACATTATAATAGCAATTTATCACAGTCAATTTAACTCACCATCTTGTTGCTTTAGCTAGCGATCTATCTTCCCAAGACGCTGCCGAGGTTACTAGGGCGTGATGACGTTTTACACAAACGCACACGTAAAGCACAAGTGTGTGAGTAAACAAAGACCCTTATCGTTAAAAGTAGCCACTTTAGCTAATATCAAAAGCTCTGTGAACAAAACATTCCCCACGTCAGAAATACACTGTGTACTAGCAGAGGCATAAATACCAACACTGTACATTTATTATCTATATGTTTTCTTTATCATTGAGGTCGCTTTAGCTCGATAGCTAGCTATCATTGTCATATGCATGTATTTTGCTTTAGAAATACAAAAGTAAAGATCTGCTGCAAGCAGTTTCAAAGATGAGATGACTAAAAGTTCATATAAGTATTTATTTCTAGAGACAGATGTTCGGAAAGGGAGCTGCCCCAGGCTGTGATTGGAGGAAGCGGTGCCACGTGCACCCTCCCCTACTACCAACTGCTGGGATCTTGACTTGAAACATTTAGCAAGTTACATTGTATAATAATAATAATCTTGCAGTCCAGCGCTGAAAGGTAATGTATGTTTCTTGTGCTACTTTGTTGCAGGTATTGATAGTGTTTTTGTTGCCAGCTATCTCTCATTTCTGGACGTGCTTGTTGGACAAAGCTGCTAGCATGCTTCGCAAAATGCGGGTAACATGACAGGCAAGTTTCATCAGTCCGAATGATAGCTTTACGGTGAATCCAATAATGTCCCACAATATGATGGTCCAATGCATAATGAGGAGTGCAGCTGTTCTAGACATGCAGAGGCACTTGGCACAGGATGGATGTGAACAATTAGTCTAGCTTCTCGACAGTCTTGCAAAATTGCTTTGAATGTAGCAAACTAGCTACTTGTTTACTGCTGGCTGCAGTTGTAGTTAATTGTCTTTACTTCCTTTTTTAGGTTACTAGTTTTCTCTCATGGTTTAACTGCACAGACTCGGGGAAAATCTCATTTATCTTAGCTTCCTCTCATCTCCTTTCCTTTATTTGCACCGGTTCTGAAGAACAGGTTTCACTTGCCTGGCAACCCAACCACATTGCTCCCATAGACATTAAAACCAGTAGCTAGTGATAGCGCTGACGACATCCACGTAATCCTATGGACATCTCCCGATGGCTCATGAAGCCGGAAGTATTTGAATTTGAAGCATGCCGCGTTCAAAAATCTTCAGTGCGTTAAAGACAACGGGGAACTCTGAAATAAACGAGCTCCGACTGGGAAAAATCGGTTTGAACGGTCATCCAATTCGGATTTCCTAGTCGGCAACTCGGCCACTTTCCGACCTTAAGATCAGACGTCATGATTTGATCTCGTTTTTCCCCGAGTTCCCAGTTGTCTTAAACGCATTGAAGTCGAACATCAGAGATGTAACTGTCTCACATCTCGGAAAATATTTGTAATGTTGTGTTTTTTAGCTATCGACCAATTCTCCCATTCACTCCTTGAAGGAGCACTCTCCCTTTGCGCGGGGCCATTGACGAAGCATGGGCAATTTACACAATGGGGGTTAATAAGATTCCAATGGAGTTTCCTATCTCCTCAAAAGTATATCTGGCTGGAATGGCACCAGCAAAGGATAACTAGGAAAGGATTATGGTCGACAGTCGCTTTCATCCTGCCTGAGAGTCAACCAGAGCCTCTTCTAGACTGCAGGCCAGTGGTTGTGATCGAACGTGATCATAATAAACACATTTTTGAGGCCAAAACGTCCATCCCCAAAAATGTTGTTTGGTTGTTCTGTGGATCGTAAATTACATAGGCTTTCTAGGGCAGATCAGGGCGTTTGGACCGCTAGGTTGCTACACAGTAGCCGAGCTGTAGACCTCTTGACTTCACCCTCCAGACCGGACACTGGGGGCCTGATTGCTCCAGCCACGCCCATGAACGTTTATTTTCCGCGATCATAGAGCAGCGGAAGAATCAGATCAGTGTAGATGGAGAGGGGCCACTGTAGAGTATTGAGATGCAGCCATAGATGGACGTCCAGTCTAACTAGCCTGCCCTGTGGAAAATAAATACCTGCGGTTGATATTATCCTTACTTTATTCTCAACCTCATCACACGCTTTCAGGCTTTTCAACTCTCTGACCCCCTTGTTATTCATTCACATCTTCCTCCCAGTCCCCTCTCTCCCTCGGCCCTTACTCTCGATCTCGCTTCACACCATTCATACCAAACGTTTGTTCATTAATTCATGTTTATTCATCCATTCAGACTTGGTCAGTGATATGTCACTGTACTGAGATGCTGTGCTTGGTCTGTGTTCATTCCTGCTCATTGTGCAGCTGCAGCAGAGAGTGTACATGACCCTGCTGTTCAAACAAACAACTCTGAACAGCTCTGGTTCCAGCCTGCTTCTTGCCTGGCTGTCCTGGGCCTGGGTGCATCTCAATATTCTCTAGAATGGCCTCCTCTCCTTCTCGCCTCGTTTCCTTGCATGCACTGCTCTGATCTAAGAACATGAGGTTATACTTTAATCTGGAGATTTGTTTGAACTTGTCCATTTTTTTAAAACATCAATACAGATGAAAGAAAGGAGACAAGTAGAGGAAGCCACTTTTAGACTATTGAGATGCAGCCCTGGTCAACAGACTGGTTTTTGGCTACTGCAGATGCCACACACCATCTCTGGTTGTTTGAAATGGGTAGGAAGGAAATGCTCTGATGCAGACTATGCCACACTGTGACCCCAGAGGAACTTTGAGTGAACTGTGGAAGGGTGGTTGATTATTAATTAAACTGATTCTGTTACTGTCTCCTGTGAGTGAATCAACTCTGGTCAGTTCAGTTTGCTGAGTGATAAATAGACACATACACACACCGCGGGAAACACAGGGAGGGCTACCCCAGGGCTGGGTTCAAAGGTTATGGCTCTAACTGGTCTGATTGGTTAGAAAGTAGGTTACCCAGAGAACCCTGGGAGGATTTTTTATTTTTTTTTACAAAGGAAACTGAGGATTTAAATTATATGATACTGTAATTAGTCCTACACTTTATTAAGCTTACACTAACGTGAAGGCTATTCTAACAACTGAAAACAGAAAGACTCATGTGTTTCTGTTCTTCCAGAGGCAGACCAGAAGGGCTGAGTGGACCAGGTTGGTACAAGACCAAGGAACCAAACGGTGACTGCAGACTCGACTCGGTTTGGGACGGGCGAGGTGGTTTGGAGACAGCATTTGTGACTTTAGACCTAGGTTGTGAGGCGGAGCGTCGCGATGGCAGTGAGCGGGTTTGACATTGACGTGCCACGGTGGGATCAGTCCACGTTTATGGGCAGACTGAAGCACTTTGCCAACATCACAGACTGGAGGACAGCACTTCTGCCGGACTCACAACTGGATGAGGCTAAAGCACTGGTGGAGAGCTGCAGGTAACGCACACACAGACACCACGAGGTTAGAGCGTTTGGCCAGTAACCCAAAGGTTGCTGGTTCGAATCCTGGAGCCGACAAGTTGGAAAATCTGTTGTGCCCTTGAGCAAGGCACTTAACCCTATTTGCTCCAGGGACGCTGGTAAAATGCTGGACCCTGGCCCCGACCACAACTCTCTGCTGGTGTCTCAGGGGGAGTTGGGATATGCTAGAACACATTTCCAATACACACTTGAACATGTGTCTAATAGGACAAATATAATTAAGCACCCACCAAATTATATTATTATTAAGTAGTAATTCCCCTGCATTATGTCTACAGTTTTTGTTCCTTATGATGAGAACCTGGGTTCTGTGTGGTTCTCCTTTTCTAGAGCGGGTTCCATTCCCCCCGGCACCACAGAGGAACAGCTGCACTACTCCAAGAAGCTCTATGACTCCGCCTTTCACCCTGACACTGGCGATCGCATGAACCTGATTGGTCGAATGTCCTTCCAGGTGCCCGGAGGGATGGCCATAACGGGCGGTATGCTACAGTTCTACAGGTACACACACACAGATTTGAGATCTTTAGGTTAGCCGAACATAGGTGCGTTTGGAGCGATGACTTCTAATCCTACATTTATATCCCTCTGTCCCCACTCTCTTCCTATCATTCTCTCGCTCTCTTTCTCTCTAGGACAGTCCCTGCTGTAGTGTTCTGGCAGTGGGTGAATCAGTCGTTTAATGCTCTGGTCAACTACACCAACAGAAACGCTGCTTCCCCCATCACACCCAAGTATGACCCTGCAGACCACACACACACACTGTTGTGGTGACTGTATTGTAATGCACATGGAGAATATAATTTAAATGTCTTACGATCAATCTCTTTTCTCTACCTCTTCAGTCAGATCGGAGTAGCCTATTTAACAGCGACTAGCACAGCTCTAGCCACTGCTGTGGGACTCAACTTCTACACAAAGGTATTGTTCAAAGAACATAACACGCACACAGACTGGTTTGATTGATTACATGTTCAACTTCCCCTTCCCATCTTGTCTCCGCCCCCTTCTGTAGAGAGCCCCTCCCCTGGTGGCGCGCTGGGTTCCGTTTGCAGCCGTGGCATCCGCTAACTGCGTCAACATCCCAATGATGAGGCAACAGTGAGTACATACTCAATTGAGGTCACTTGAGTATTAGCATCTATTCTGATAGTGTATTAGCATCCCCATGAAGACAACAGTGAGTTGTTGATCATGTCCTTCTCTCCTCTCTTCTCAGGGAGCTCCTGAATGGCATAGCTGTAACAGATGAGAATGGAAACAAACTTGGCCATTCCAAGGTAACAGCACTGGGAATGTCTGGATAATTAAATATCCTATTTCTGACTGTTACACAAGAGCAGAGAAATTACGTTGTACCTACTCCTCCGTTCCCAATTTTTCTTTTTTTTTTCTTTCCAGAAAGCAGCTGTGAAGGGCATCACCCAGGTGGTCATTTCCCGGATTACCATGGCAGCACCGGGCATGAGTACGTTTCAAAGGTTTAAGGAGGAGGGCTGGAGCTGTAGAGTTTGAGCTCAGTCCTCGCTCCATAGACAATGGGAAGTGGAGCTGTGTTGGAGTGTGACCCTGTTGCTCCCTTCAATGACTCATTATTCTCCTCTTGTTGCCACCTTCTACTTTAAATCCTTTCCCTTTCCCCCTCTCTTCTCCTAGTCATTCTCCCCATCATCATGCAGAGACTGGAGAAATACAAGTTTATGCAGGTGGGACTTTTATTAAAATACACCAAATGCTGCTACTAGACATGCATAGGCTAGCTAGCTACGTTGTTATTGAATAAGCATTGACTAAATATCCACAGTTACGTTGTTCTTGACTAAACATGCTGACAGTGCAGATTCTGTCTGGCGTTGCGGTTTGTTTATTGCTAACAAGCTCTGTCTTTTGGTTAACAGAGGATCACCTTCTTCCACGGACCTTTACAAGTCATGATGGTGGGAGTGTTGTAAGTAGGACTGTTTAGGAGGTTGAACCATGAAGATTATTTTGGTTCAGGGGATTGTTCTTTGGGCCCTGGTCAAAAGTAGTGTACTATGTAGGGAATAGGGTACCATTTGGGACACAACCATACGTCTCAGTAGGCACAGTCACCTAACCCTCCATGGGGCGGCAGGTAGCTTAGTGGTTAAGAGCGTTGTGCCAGTAACCGAAAGGTTGCTGGTTCTAATTCCCGAGCCGACTAGGTGAAAAATCTGTCTGTGCCCTTGAGCAAGGCACTTAACCCTAATTGCTCCTGTAAGTCGCTCTGGATAAGAGCGTCTGCTAAATGACTAAAATGTAATGTCTGTTTTGCAGCCTGGTCTTCATGGTGCCTGCAGCCTGCTCCCTGTTCCCTCAGCAATGGTAAGTAGCCTGTCGACTGGGCAGCATTCAGTAATGCGCCTTCATGATGGTAGTAGCAGTTTTAGCTCACCTACAGTAACGTATTAGACTCTCCCTTGGTTTAGATCGCACTCTTCCTCTCACTTTCTTTCAGCTCCATGGCCGTGTCTAAGCTGGAGCCAGAGCTAAGGGCATCCATCTTGTCTCGCTACGGGGACAGTGTAGAATACGTCTACTTCAACAAGGGCCTTTGAACACACAAACACACATACCTGCCTTCTTAATCATTGTCCAATCAGGGAGAGCACCTGAACTTTTTTCTAAATGAGCCAATCAGCATCCTCGGCTCATAGGAGAAATAGCTTTCTCCTTGTTTGTCTGTCTTTATTTTCATAGAATATTTGTGATTGTAGGGGAGATGTTCTTAAATAGTTAAAATGTGTGTATGAATTCTCTTGTACCACTAATCAGGTTTCCAACCTTTTTATGCGAGTAAAGTACATGGCGGATAAAAAAATGTCATGAGAGGCCTGATGGAAACAGCAAATCTGTCTGTAAACTTTCCAAATGTTGACAAAACAAAATACGCTAGACAAGGTGGGATCTTTTTGTGTCTGTAAAATTAATTATGTGAGAAATGGTGGTGGAAACACTTTTTTTTTTTTTATGCACAAATATTGATAATAACCATCATATAAACTTGGAGTCACGCGATGATATGTTGTGTGGTCCTCCTCCTATGACTCAGGAAAGCATACAGTTTTTTTAGGTTACAAAGGAAATAAGTTATGATAAACTTTACAGGGTGATGAAAGTGCACGGTGATGAGCTTGATGCACCTTTCCAATAAATATTGAGTCTTATTCTGGTGACCTGATCGATGCTTGGCTGCCATTTGACAAATAAAAAATATACTGAACATGAATATAAATGCAACAATTTCAATGATTTTGCTGAGTTACAGTTCATATAAGGAAATCAGTCAATTGAAATAAATAAATGAGGCCCTAATCTATGGAGTTCACATGACTGGGCAGGGACGCAGCCACTGGTGGGCCTGGGAGGGCATAGGACCACCCACTGGGGAGCCAAGCACAGACAATCAGAATTCGTTTTTCCCCACAAAAGTGCTTTATTACAGACAGAAATACTCCAGCAATTTTTTAGTGACAAAAACATCAGTAGAGTTGAAAATGCGATGGAAACCCATTAAATGTTTTATTCGGTACATGGGAATTTATCTGCAAAAGTTATTTTTATGTGCACTGTCATCACACACAGCCTTTTATCCACAACAAGTCAATTAGATGATAACACATCTCTGGTGGGAAATAAGCTTTTTTTTAATGCAGTTTTTAGAATATTCGCTTGAAAATCTGTCGCCAATTGAATGGAAACCCAGCTACTGTGTTAATATGCTACAGTATATAATTCAATTGACCAGAGCCCTATGGCCGCTGGTCAAAATTAGAGCACTATATAGGGTGTCATTTGAGAAGCAGCCTGTGTTACCAACTCTTGACCTCGGATTCAAATATGACCAACTGTGTGTGTACACATCTCAGTGTTGGGTGCAAATGAAGAGTAGTGTATTACTCAGACAATGTAATGCCATATCAGGAATAGATCATTACTTAAGCCGTCATGCAGGTGTTCTATAGAATGTTCTTTTGTTTTGCCCTCGGCTCTAGTCATCAGAGGTCTGAGTCTATGGTTCCACAGTTTTTAGTGTAATAGAAAGTTTGTGTTCACATGCTCTGAAGTGAAGCGATTGAGTGGTGAAGAAGTCAATAATGCCAACCGATTGTTATTGACAAGTAGAATTTATTCTCACTGACTAAGCTGTCTTGGTGCGTGCTGTGACCAGGAGTCTAGTTCCACCCTCTCTGTACTTACTGCAGTCAGTCAGGAGCTGAAAGTGGCAAATACATGGGCATTATACCACTTCACTGTGATTCTTCTCTAATGGAATAAAGCCTAATGAAATGGGAGTTAAACTAATGTAGTGAATACGCAACATACTGTACTGAGGTATGTTGTGGTGATAGAAAATAACCACCAGGGGGCAATGTCTCCTTATGGTTAGAGATCAACTACACAGCAGCAGAAATATTTATAGCGCCCACCTCTTTGCTTGTTCTGCCCACTATGCTTAATTTGCTCCCATTGAAAACTGGGTTCGTTATAAATATTTTTGCTGCTGTGTAGTTGATCTCTAACCATAAGGAGACATTGCCCCCTGGTGGTTATTTTCTATAACCACAACATACCTCAGCACAGTATGTTGTGTATTCACTACATTAGCATGTAGTGAGATAGAGAGATCCTATTGGCGCGTTCTAACATGTATTTGCATATTTCCGTTAGCGAACGCCTTCCGTCTGAAATGCTCTTGTGCAATAACTCAATTCGCCCTTGCACTCCTTGTAAACGACGCAATTTTGAGAAACCTTGGCAAAGGGTCACGTCTACAAAACTTAGCGCACTCTGTTCGTAACAGATTCTAGTTTTGGGAACAGAACTGTATTGAGATCGCGTTTTTCTTCAATGAGAAAATCAGCAGAATTTCGGCTCAGCTCCATCTCGCTCCATACTCCCTCTGCCGGCCACTGGGCTTACTCTGGAAATTCCAACTGGATGCTTCAGATTTTTACATCTGGTGAAACATCTGGCTCCTTGTTCTGTGGGCGCGTTCGAGCAGATCACTTTTTCCAAGTCGTTGTCGATTGTTGGTCACCGCCTTCCAAAGTGTGTTGCATTATTGGGATAAAAAGTGTCCGACTTGCGCATTATGGTGTTTTTGTTTGACCCACCCGAACGTGACAAAAGACATGACAAAAACAGGAACTAACTTTGCCGTGATTCATGTATACAGAGGATATGTATAAATTAATGTGGAATTTGAGGCTCTCACCAATTGGTAGACAATGTACACACACTCACTGGCCAGTTTATTAGGTACACAACCCAGTTCATGAAAATGGAGCGCTCCTACAGACAGTGAGTCACAGAGCTTGCTATAAAAAGCAGGCAGACAGGCATCGAAGCATTCAGTTACTGTTCGATTGAACGTTAGAATGGGCAAAACGAGTGACCTAAGTGACTTTGAGCGTGGTATGATCGTCGGTGCTAGGCACGCCGGATCCAGTATCTCAGAAATGGCTGCCCTCCTGGGCTTTTTTAACGCACGACAGGCTGTAGGGTTTCCCTTTGAATGGTGCAACAAACCAAAAACGTCTAGTCCGCAGCAGTCCTGTGGACGAAAACAGCTTGTTGATGAGATAGGTCGAAGGAGAATGGCAAGAATTATGCAAGCTAACAGGCGGGCCATAAACAGACAAATAACGGTACAGTGGTGTGTGTAGAATGGCATCTTGGAACGCACAACTCGGCGATCCTCGTCACAGATAGGCTATTGCAGTAGACGACCACACCGGGTTCCACTCATATCAGCTAAAAACCAAGAAGAAGCAGCTTCAGTGGGTACGCGATCACAAACACTGGACAATTCAGGAGTGGAAAAACAGCCTGGACTGACTAATTCCAGTTCCTGTTGCGTCATGATGATGGCAGAGTCAGGATTTGGCGTAAGCAGTATGAGTCCATGTCAACGGTAAAGGCTGGTGGCGGTGGTGTACCACCATCCAATCTGCAGCAACTGCGTGATGCCATCGCGTCAGCATGGACCAACATTCCTGTGGAACGTTTCCGGGGCATGGATTCTACAAGTCAAAGAATTCAGGCTGTTCAGGAGGCAAAGGGGGGGCCCCATCTCGGGACTAGATGGGTGTACCTAATAAACTGGCCGGTGAATGTATATTTAGTTTGTGAGTGTCAGATATGGGGGTTGGAGACTTCCGGTTGTCGCAGAACCTTGACCTTTGACCTCTAGGGTACATATCAGAATTACCTGTATAAATTGCTTTAAAAAAGGAAACCCTGATACGTTAATATTTTTGTTTGTCTGAAAGCTCATGACATTATCTTTCAAATGATATATCATATAACCAACTTTGAATGCACCAGCTACTACTATTGTTTTAAAATAGCCCATTGTGTGCCATTGACATTAGAATGTTGGAAGCTTAGCCATCAAATTCCATGTAGTTTTGCAGCTATGTTTTTGGATTGTAACTTTGATGATGGAGCCACCACATTTCACACACACAGCTAGAACAGGGTTTAAAAAGGATTTGGAGATACAGGGCCATCACACTTAATGTGTTGTGAAAAGTGTTATGAAATGTGATGTCATGTAATATTTTAAATGGTATATAACTACCTTAATGTTGCTGGACCACAGGAAGAGTAGCTGCTGCCTTGAAAGCAGCTAATGGGGATCGTTAATAAATACAAATACAGGATTTACGTATTAAGCCCACAGAAGCCTTTTTCCAATATGGCTGCCAAACAACTCAATGGCATATTATTGGATCAATTCCGCATGACCATACCTGTATGAAATATAATTGTAGTATGCCCAATAATATCTTTAAATGTTCACAGTGATGTAGAAAATACAACCAAATGAGCCAGGTGTGCCAGATATGTAAAGATTATATATTATTTACACAATTGTGGTAAGAATGTGCCCAAAAAGCTGTCCGACTCACTCATTTGTGAATATGTTTCAACCCTTAATTGCAATACTTCACCTTCAAACATGTAAAATGGATTTATACACTGAAGAAAAATATAAATACAACAATTTCAAAGATTTTACTGAGTTACAGTTCATATAAGGAAATCAGTAAATTGAAATAAATTAGGCCCTAATCTATGGATTTCACATGACTGGGAATACTGATATGCATCTGTTGGTCACAGATACCTTAAACAAAAGGTAGGGGCGTGGATCAGAAAACCAGTCAGTATCCGTATCTGGTGTGACCACCATTTGCTTCATCCAGTGCAACACATCTCCTTCACATAGAGTTGATCAGTCTGTTGATTTTGGCCTGTGGAATGTTGTCCCACTCCTCTTCAATGGCTATGCGAAGTTGCTGGATATTGTCGGGAACTGGAATACGCTGTCGTAAATGTCAATTCAGAGCATCCCAAACATGTGACATGTCTGGTGAGTTTGCAACTGGGACATTTTCAGCTTCCAGGAATTGTGTACAGATCCTTGCGACATGGGGCAGTGCATTATCATGCTGAAACATGAGGTGATTGCGCGACAATGAGCCTCAGGATTTCGTCACGGTATCTCTGCACTCAAATTGTCATCGATAAAATGCAATTGTGTTTGTCCGTAGTTTATGCCTGCCTGCCCATACCATAACCCCACCACCACCATGGAGCACTCTGTTCAAAACGCTTGACATCAGCAAACCACTCGCCCACACCGTACAGTTGAAACCCGGGATTAATCTGTGAAGAGCACACTTCTCCAGCGTACCAGTGGCCATCAAAGGTGAGCATTTGCCCACTGAAGTCAGTTACGACACCGAACTGCAGTCAGGTCAAGACCCTGGTGAGGAGGACGAGCACGCAGA